GAGGATGAGGAGAAAAAGGAACTCTCCTGAACTGCTGGTGGGAATGCAAATTAGTACAACCATTATGGAAAGCTGTTTGGAGGTTTCTCAAGCTGCTAAAAATGGAGCTTCCATATGACCCAGCAATCCCACTCCTAGGTATCTACCCAAAAGACACAAACACTGACTCAAAAAGACACCTGCATCCCCATGTTTATTGCTGCTTTATTTACAAAAGGAAAGACATGGAATCAACCCAAATGCCCAAAAGTAGATGACTGAATTAAAAAGTATGTGGTACATATACACAATGTAATATTACTCAGCAATAAAAAAAGATAAACACATGCCTTTTGCAGCAACGTGGATGGAGCTGGAAGGGATCATGCTTAGTGAAATAAGCCAGAAAGAAAAGGGAAAATAGCAGATGGTTTCACTCATTTCAGGAGTATAAAAGACTAGGGGAGAAAATAATAATGAACAACTATATATCGGAGATATTTTACCAGGGTGGAGAGGGGAATGGGATCAAAAATGGGGTGTGGGAGGGGGGAGAAGTGCACTGGACTATGGTGATGGCACATGGGTGATTTGGTGATGGGAAGCCCATGGGGATTACAACTGAGATTGGAAAAGGCACAAAATGATGCAAAAATAAACTATTGTATTATTTTGTAAAAATGACATTTCCATATGACCCAGCAATTCCACTCCTAGCAATCTACCTAAAGGACACAAAAAACATTTATTCAAAATGATACTTGCACCCCTGTTTATTGCAGCACTTTTTTCAATAGGTAAGCAATGGAAGCAACTCAAATGCCCAAAAATAGATGACTGGATCAAGAAGATGTGGTATATATACACAGTGGAATATTAATGATCAAGATAAACATATGCCATTCGCAGCAACAGGGATAAAGATGAAATGGCTATGGTAAGTGATATGAACCAGAAAGAAAGAAAAATATTGGATGGTTTCATTTATAGGAGGAATGAAGGGAAACCAAATACAGGGACAGGAAAAGAATAATAAATTAAAAAACAAAATTAACAGGCAAATGTAAATCATAGCCATTCTGTAGGAGGAGGAAGGGAAGGGATCAAAAGAGGAAAGCACACAAGGGACTATGGTGATGGTGCACGGGTAAACTGGTGGTGGGACTTTTATGGGGACTACACTGAGAGAAAGCATACATTGTACAAAAAGGAAGAATAGTGTAATATTGAAAAAAATGCTGTGGGAAGTTCAATTAATTGGAAAAGTCATTTATAGCATTCCCTTAAATCTATAGGAGTAACTGAACTCCAAGCTTATAATGAGCATCAACTGCCAACTGAGTAAGTCACATTCAGTCTTTAGGTGCTATTTAACTGTAATTATTAATATATAACTGAACTAATGTAAGAAATGGCAATCTGAGCCCAGTTAGCCAGCAGAACCATAAAAGATACAGACATCACTACATTAAGTTTACAAGTGCTTTGTTATGAGATAGTAATAAAAACACAGGGGCTAAAAGCTGTTCAGGCAGAAAGATAATAATGCAAAACAGAAACATAGATTTATAAAAAGAAATCTATGAAAAGAAATTAAGAGTGCTAGAAATGGAGTAAATGAAAGTAACATACAATTCTTTTATTTTTAATTTTAAAAAGAACACCTGGAAGCAGGTATTTATAGCACAAAGTAAAATTATTAAAATTGAGCAAAAATGGGAGCAAAATTCTACCAAAAACAGCGACGAGATCTAATAAATGAGTTTACAAGATCAATATATAAAAATCAGCATTTCTGATTTTTAAGCAACCAATATATGGAGGATAAAATTAAGAAAAAGTAATACAAGAATATCAAAATGTGAAATATTATAAAAGATGTTCAAGAACCCCCATGTTAGAAAATACAAAGCATGGAGAGCTATGTTCATGTATCAGAAGACTCAGTAATGTTAAGATGTTAATTCTCATAATAATCTGTAAACTCAATTATAATTCGAGTAATTTTTTCTTGTAGAAATTGACAAGTCCATTTAAAACTTACCTAGAATAGCCAAGTCAATTTTTGAAAAGAATAGTTAGTGAACTTTCACTGCTCAAATTCAAGACTGTTCAAAAAGCTTACAGTAGTCTATGAAATGTGGTGCTGACAGACATTGGGAATCTAATGTACAGTATCTTACAATAGTTAATACTGTGTTGCATACTAAAAATGTTTTAGAGTAATCTTAAATGTTTTCACCTTAACGATAAAGTAATAATTATGAGAAATACAGGATGGTTTAACTAAATTCACTGTGGCAAACATCTCATAATATATGATCTCTATCAAATTATCACACTGTACATCTTAACTCAAAGTCCTGTGTCAATTTGATCACAATAAAGATGGGGAAAAAAAAGATGACATATAAATCAAAGATATGATGGTTTAAAAATAAATTCATGCATTATTATAAACTGTTTCTTAACAAACATGATTCAGTAAGTAGTATATTAAAAACAAATGATTTGAATATATATTTCATCAAAGAAGAACAAAGACACAGATGTAAATAAATTCTAGGTGAGCAGCTCAATCTCATTAATCTTTAGGAAAATGAAAATATAAAATACAGTTACCTAGTCAATTCCACTTCTGGGTATTGTATGTTCACTCAAAGATTTCACACAACCATCTATAGTAATATTATATAGACTATCCAAAAACTGGATGGATACAGTCTGATAAACATTATGCTATATTCACATATCAGACTACTTATACTATTCACACGAGAAAGAAACCAACTGCTTATATTCATAGCACCATGGAAAAATTCCAAAAACATTATGCTGAGCAAAAATATCCAATATGATACAATTTATCTGAAATTCTATAATAATCAAAGTTAATTCATAGTTACAGAAAGCAAATAAGTGGATGGCTGGAACAGGAGAGAGCATTAGAATTTGTGGAAATGGGGATGGTGAATAACTGCAAAGGGATTTTTAAAGATATTTCATTTCACTATGTAAATGATGTCTCAAAAGTTGGTTTAAAACACTGTATGAACTTTTATGAGGCATAATATAGTTTTTAGGTACATATGCCCTATGTAGCCAACCCCATAGGGCATTTCACCTTTCCCAAAACTGTCTTTAAATCCCTTTGCAAAGTAAATTTAATTGCATAATTTGATCTTTCTATGAAATTGGCAATTTATAAATGGCAATTTATAAATGTAAAGAATCTAGAAGAGAGTCAACGATTTCAGAGTTGAACATTACCCCTGCATTAGTTAGGAAAATGTTGGCTGCTGAACAAATAAAACATTTTACTAAATTCATTACAATGCAAGAGCAACTAAAGATATAATTTGCATAGAGATACAAACAGATCAGTGGAACAGAATTAAAACCCTAGAAAGAGATCCTGTTTATATGAAAGCTTATTATAAAATACTAAGATGGGACAAATCTGTGTGAAAAATAATAATTTTTCAATTATGCTTTACAAATGTTGGTCTGTATGGAAAAATTACATTTCTCATACAAAAAGATAATCAGCTTAATGTAGATAATACATCTAAATGCAAAAGCAAAATTGTAAAGCATCTGGAAAAATATTTCAGAAAACCTTTTGTTTTTTGATAGACATATAAACAATGTCCCAAAAAATAAAATCACCAAGAAAAATATTGTTATATGATTACATTGAGATTTAAAACTTCCAAATAAAAGTACTATAAAAATTAAACCAATCTCTCACAAAACAACTCTTAGCAAAGAAAATATTTGCTGTAAACTTAACAGCAATAACTGGAATCCAGAATACATTTTAAAGGAACATATATCAAGAAATAAACGACAACCCAAGGAAAATGAGAAAATTATGTAGGTTGGCAAGTGGTCTAATCTAACATATGAAAGATGTTCCACTTCAAGACACAATAGAGAATTAAAAAGTAAAACCAACAAAAAAAGGGAAATTCCTGTTAAACAAGAAAAGGTCTAATAATAACAAGATTAAGAGTACAGAAAAATCAAATCTCTTACAAATCATATTGGAGAGCAATTTGGCAGTACCTAATAATGCTGTAGATGGAATTATCTTTTAATACAGTAAATCTATTCAAATTATACTTCTCAAATATACAAAAAAAGTAACAAACTGATGCATTGTAATGAATACCCCCTAAAACAGTGGCTAGCATTCCATAGGGTTGAATAAATCTTTAATAAATGAACTATCAGAAACTTTTAAAATAGGGCCTGGAATAACCTGGGATAGCCTAACCCTTAAACAGAAGTGGAAAATGTAAATTTATGTAATTCTTCTTCTATATTGGCATATATACAACTGCTTTTTTATGTTAAGTGGTCTAGTATTTCATTTAGGGATATGTTTATGCTTGGACATGCATAATCTATTGTTGAAAGTATGTAGATAAGAAACTCTTCAATTGTTACTTCTGTTCAAAGGAACTGGTAACTGGGGATTAGAGAGTAGAGGAAAATTTTTCATTAACTGCCATTTGTATGTTCTGAATTTTAAACTTTGACTATATTAGTAAAAAAATTTTAGATTAGAAATTTTAAAATGTAAATCTAAATGAAAAAACTGGCAAACATGTATGATACTATTTACATAGTACTATGAAATAGTTAGAACCATTCTATTTGTTATAGTAAAGTGTAGTATAATTACAGTATACTAACACTCACAGAAACAATAAAATTGAGGATTACTACTTTGGAGAAAGGTTAGTAGGAAATGGGATGGTGATGGTATACATCAGGGATATATCTGTAAGGTTCTTTAAAATCTTCTGAAACAAATATAGCACAATGTTTAGATATGAAAATGGTGGACAACAGGTACAATGAGGTTTCGTTCACTTTAATGTATACTTGAACTATATTACAACTTTTAAAAATGTATATAAAGCAGTGATGAGCATAGTATCTGACACAGAAAATTCATGTAACAAATAATACTTTTTAGTGTGGAAAGGCTTATTAGCCACTGTAAGACTTACTCTGCTAACTCCACTTTGTAAGCACTGGGTGTTGCATGGATATTCGTTTTGAAAGTTGAAAGGGAAGACCACTCCTGTTAAGAGGAAAAAAATTACAATTTTAAATATGCATGACTTAATAAATATATAATACTATCCCAAAATGCTAGCTATTCCAGGATATTCTAGGCCGTACTTTAAAATGTTTCTGATGGTTCATTTACCCAAAATTTATTTAACCGTCTGGAAAGTTAGCCACTGTGTTAGTAAAAAGTCAGAGATAAAAGAGCTCATAGTACACTAAAAAACAACATTAATAAGTAATAATTATTTCAAAAATAACTTAAATGAGAGGTACAGAGAAGATACTACAGAAGTTTCACAAAGAAGGTAATTTAACATCAGTCCTGAGAAAAAGATTTCGTTGAGAACATGAGATGGCCAGCAGGTATGAAGTTTTGCTGAGAATGGCAAAATTAATTTCTGATTTACTCAACTTATCTACCTAATAAAACCTTACTCCTGATTGAATTTTTTTTTAAAAAAAGGTTTATTTGTGCATACAGAACTGGTACAGGCCAGAGGCTCAGGGGCGGCGAGAGTCTTCACCAGAGACAGAGTGGGGAGCAGAACAGGCAGATAGACGAAGTACACTGCTCCGGGGCAGGTGGGAATCGAACTCATGCAGAAGTGGCTTTAGCTTCTTAGTGCTGTGCTTTAACCCGCTGTGCCACCAAGGAGGGCCACTCCTGATTGGATCTTAAGAGGATACAAATAAGATCAGGGCTATTTGCCCATCCAACCCCATTTTAGTCCTAGAAGGAAACATTAGTGAAAAACTGAATCTGTATGAATTGAAAGAGAGAGGAATGTGGTTGGAGCACAGCACTGCGAAGTTAGTAGCAGATCCCAGGCCAGGGAGCTGACCCACATGGCGCAGCAGACTTCTCTTATCTTGCCTGCTGCTCCCCTCTGCAGTGTACTTGTCAATCTGCCTGTTCTGCTCCCCACTCTGTCTCTGGTGAATCTTCTCACTGCCCCTGCACCTCTGGCCCATACACCAGTTCCGTATACATACATAAATAAAAAGAATGGTCACAGAAAGGAGCTCTGTTAATAGCTTATTGCTTTCCCTCTAGCATAAAATTTGAGACTTCACCCTACACAACTCTGCTTCTTCAATGCAACAGGATATGTGATCAGCATTACTAACTTATGGTTCAGAATATCCATTAATCAATTTGTCGATCCTAAATCACCAACTTCAGAGCAAACATGATCCAAATAGAGATAATCTTCCTCGTAGGACCCAAAGATGGATGAACAAATGGATAACCGAAAAATTGGCATCATTTCTATTTTTTTCTGCTTCATCTTTACAACTAATAAAATGGCTAGATTTTCCTAAGAAGCCAGTTATTAGTGGAACACATGAACTAGAATTTAAATAAGCTACATATATATCATCTAAGTTAGACTAAACAAGCCACTGTAACAATAAATTAAATATTCCAATGTAATAGTTACATACCATGTATTTCAAGATTTTGTAAAAAAATTATAGGCAAAAAAGAATATTTAATTTTAGAATTTTGTTTAGGTTTCCTAATTTAGATATGTTCCAGCTAAAGAGTAATCCTAAATTGTGTTCTTTTGAGCTAATCATTTTTTTTCACAATTATATATATTTATGCTAATTCTGTCCATGTAACTGCTCTATGGCGATCATAATCATAGGGCACAATTTGTATTATGATTATGAGCAATAGCTGATTAATGAGGCATGAGGCATGAAACTATGAAAACTATACAAATTTACTTTAAGTCAAGATTTATTCTTCCTACTTTTGTTGGTCTAGTAGACTATTAAGATTCCTTTTTTTTTTTGCTAAAACTTAAATTCCTCAAATAGAAGGGGGATCATCATTTTTCATTATTTTTTAATTATCTAGCATAAACAATTACTGTGCACATAATTTAGCCATTCAAATTCTAATTAGCCATTAACTAATATTTTAAAACAAATACCCTAAATTACTCACCAGGAGGAGAAGTCAGATGACGAGCAGGTCTTGCTGGTTGAAGTGGTTTACCAATCAATTTTTTGGTTTCCATTATCAGAAAGACCTTGAGGTTCCATACTTTCAGAGGGAAAAACAAATCTGTTACGTTTTGGACAAGGTAATCAAAATGCTTTAACACATAACAGTCATACCATTTATTGGAAAAGACCTATTTTTAAAGTTAGGGTGGAAAACAAACACAAAAGCAGCATTATGACAATATGCCTATATAGCATCTTTCAAAATTGAGCTTTCCCTCTCTAAAACACTGCCTTCCCTTACCTTCCCTGACTCTCTTCTTTTGGTTTTCTATTTCTTTGGCTATCTCAGCTAACTTCCTTAGCTGGTTGTCTTTTTTTTTTCTTTTCCTCCAATTAAATAAAAGGATTCTACCATAATTGGATTTGGTTCTCTTACTTTATCTATACCCATAATTGAACTATCTACATGATACACATGCCCTAATTTGCATACATATCATCCATCTTTTAAATGACAATTCTATTTTTCTCAAGATAGAAGATACTTCCATTTATATTTTACCACAGGCAACTCAAATTTCCAGCATCTCCAAAATAAAGTTCATTACCTTGACTCTGAAGTATTTCCTCCTTAGTAACCCATCCTCATAACTCCTAAAGCCTACAGACATCACCAACTTCCTTGGATCACCCTTAGTTAAAGATACCATAATTTAAAGGTCTGTATGTGAACACCCTCACCATAATCAATCTCCATCATCTGCTCATGCTATTGCTATCTAAAATAGCTATAAAATCTAGTTTCTTCATTCCTACTATTACTTTTTGTTCCCCATACACACACATGCACACATATAAATATATATACACATATATATAAATACTCCCTTCCCCATTAACATTTCTAGGACAAAGTGAATAAGTCTACACCATGTCATTTAGAAGATGTTAGAGTACAATATGGCTGATTTGTCCTTGTTCCATAATAGGCAAAAATGACATTCTTTTAAAGTGAAGAAAAAATATTTGTTTTATTCTCTTTACAGTCTCCTGCCACTAAAACAGAACACAGACTAGATACAATATAGATAAAAATAAGCACTAGCTGAACAAATGGGTGAATCAACCTCTTTTCTCTCCAAATATGATCCCTTTACACATATTTCTGCCTTCTGTTCCAGTTCCCCATTACCTTCTGGGTTACATAGAATAGAAACAGAAGGTATTATCCGTGTTCCATGCATAGTAAACCTTTTACCTATGTAATGATATTTAACATATATAACAACATATATATTAGGCACTAACTGGTTCCATATCATGGTTCTACCACCTAGCTATATAACTGTATGGAATCAATTGCCTTTACCCCTTACATTTGATGTGAAAACTAAATAATCTGAAAAATATTAACAAAATGTCTGGCATATATATATGGTAGCTTTATTATTTCTAACTCATTTCATATATTAAGAGTTAGGGAAATTAGGTAACTTATCCCAGACCATGAGCCTAGGGAGTAGTAACTATGCCTATGCACCTGCTTCTGGCCAACACTGTATATTCCACCTTGCTTCAACCCACCCATACCCAAGGAGAACTGTAAAAATTCTGATTAATTACCCTTTTTATGTGTTTACAAAGCACCCTTGTGCCCTCCTTCAATATGGTACCCATGGCTCTAGTTGAAATCGCCTATTATCTGTTAAATCACACCTCTATCACTAAGTTATCTCTAGTGTCCAGTACAAAATATTTAGTACACAGTGGATGTTATAAGTTGGAGATCTCAAAAATGTATTTTCCTTTACCATAATAGCTATACATTCAAGTCCTCTGACTAGTTCCTCACTTCCTCTGATGCTCTCCAGGACCAATGTTAAATTATTGCTACTTCTTAGAAAATATCTTTATGTCTCAATAAGTAAAGTTAAATAAAATAGTTTATTAGGAGTTATTAGGAGTTATGAAACAGTTTATTAGGAGTTTAGTAGGAGTGATAAAACAGTTTATTAGGTGTTTTCTAGCTCCTAATAGTTGATAGTAATATAATAATAATAATTTCTCTTTCCTAATGTTCTTCCAGTGATCCCTATTGTATTTTGTTAATTTTTCTACAATTTCCCATAGTAAGAATATTACATACCTATTTGATTAGACTGAGTTACTTGCGACCAAAAAAATTAGACTTTACTTATTTTGAATTCTAGGACCTGCAATAGTTTTTACTAGAGAAAGCTTTACATTTAAATACTTCCTAAGTAGTGTAACTAAAATCATCTGACACTAAACAAGACACAAGTTTTCCAAATTTAATGCCTATCAAGACAAAGTCACAAGTAAAACTCCACTTAACTTTAGGCAGCACATTCAGAAACAATTGTAACCATGTGATCTTAAGTATATCATTATTCTAGGTGAGTGTTTCCTAAGGATAAAACAGTGTTTAATACTCCCTTTTCAATTCCAAAGAAATGCTTTCACTATTTAAGAATACCAATGGACATAATTCAAATGTTAACAGCATACTCCTTCAAAGCTGGTAATGAATGATAACTAAGCACTTTTTCCTTAAGTTTGCATAAAAGTGAGCCAGAACTCTTAGTTTAATGTCTATCTAGCTTTGAAATGAACTTTAATTGGTATTTCAACAATTACAAACATTTAAATTAGTACCCTAACACAAATGTGTATAATGCTTCCACCCATTTCCTGTAAATAACTAGTGGACTAGAGTACAAGCGAATAGGTGGCACACACCTTGTTTTTCACAACTCAGCTGAAACTGAATTGGTAGGTTGTAAAGGCATTGCTAATTGATGATCAGTGCAATTCCACAGTTTTCAAACTAGGAATTTTCAAGAGTTAGGGAATTATAAAGCTACTATATGAATTTGTGGCATGTTTAAACAACACAAGATCTTTTAGTACCACCTACTCCTTCAATTTGTAGTAGGAAAACTACAGCAAGAATATCAGATAAATAAACCACATTGGTTAAGGAAATTAGAAAAGACTATGCCAGACTAATCTTTTTGTAGGATTTTTTAAAAATAACCAATGCATACATAGAGACTGATGTTACGGAGAGTAAGTTCGATATTACCATACACACTACATGACACTATCATGCATTAAATAAAGCATCATTCATGGAAAAGGCAAGTCATTATTACAAAACTGAATCACAAGATTGTAATCTATGAAGGACAAGATGCCACACACCAAACCTTATTCTTAGTTTAAAAAATAACCAAGACTAACCACAAATCTGTATATAAAATAATCTCAATCTTAAATTATAAACCTGCTACACTCAACAAATGTAAAGCTAAAAGTTTCCTGTGTAGTTACTACCACTACCAAGTGTGGTATTTATATCAACTATTGTAAAGGACAGTTGTCTTTTTAACATACAGCTTTGTAGTATAGATATTTTAAAGGATATTCTGATGTATTGATACATGCTGAGAAATGAGTGTTGAATACAAGGTTTTTTAATTTTCAAATTTATACATAATTAACAAATGAACTTAAAAGACCAAGTGTGTTCACTCTCAAGTCAGAAAATTTAACTGTAATTGCTATTCTGAATCTAGCAAAGCTAATTATATCTTAGGTTTTACTATTGAAGAAAAAGTAGTCACTTTACAGATGACAAACTTGAGATTCAGAAAAGAAAACATGCTGGAAGTTCACACTACTAATAACGGTAGCAATTAATTTTTGACTACTAAGTTCATTATCTCTAAATTTGTCTCTTGGCAAGACAGACATCCACTATTCTCTGAAGACATTGCTTGTCTAACACGGGCCACTTCCACGTAACCTTAATAAATGGGTATGTGCAAATAGTCTCTATTTTCTAAATTCACAATTTTTACTAAAATACTGAAGAAGATACTCTAGTGCCAGCAAGCACATGGCAAGCCCGCTATGGATTCAGGCAGATGGATAAAGGAGAGTCCAGGAGCCCTCAGTGAGTCTTTGTCAGGCTTCACCTGCTCTCAGGGAACCAGGCACAACAGGCAGGGAGGCTGGCTTGCAGGAGGCAGGCAGGCAAGGCCCGCAGGGGATGAGGGAGTGGGGGAAGGAACTGCCGGCCCCCACAAATCTTTACTCTTACTCTGGGCTCCCCTGGCTCTCTTTCATGGTCTCGCCTCTCCGTGTCCATCCCTCTGAGTGTCGCTGCCCTTACAGCCCTGCTCTGTAGGCTCAGGTGCGCACGATTGCGCCAGGAGCCCACAATCAGGCACGGGCTACCTGCGCCCACGCTCCGGAGCTACTCCTACGTTAACGAGATAAAGGGCGCAGGTGTGACAGCCACAGGGTCTAGTGGCCCCCAAAAGCCTGATTAAATCACTTAACTATAGTTACAGGTGACCGTGCTTTCCTCAGCCTGCAGCAACTAATCTTAGGTCACAGCATAAACAGCAGACTTTGTACTCTATTTAGATGCTGGCTACTATAAATTTCCAACTTAACCTCTAGATTTCCGTAGAAAGTACAAAATGTTCTACTGCAATTAAGATCATACAAATTAAAGAAGCTATGAAGAAATGAAGAATACACTTTCATCCAATTCATATTTATTTGACACATGATAACCAAATACTATTTTCAACTTCAAAATAACACCTTTACAAAGTTAGGATTCCTTGAAACCAAATGCTGCTTGAAAGTAAAATGTAGCTACTGATAAAAACAGACTAAAAGTAATATTAAAAAATTGAGAGGAAGAGATAAACCAACACGACTTAGGTGGTTAAAGATACTCTATAGCACACATACTCTAGCGGTCATATTTAGGAAAAATTAAAACAAAAGTTCTATTGTCCCCTATAAGCCAAGAAAGTTCCACCATAATTTCTACTTCCCATCTTCTCTTGATAAGTGACCAAAAAGAACCCTCTCCCTCCCTTTTCCCCCTCTGTGCTGAGCTCTATCTAAGATGCTCTAAGCATCTTTCAGAACTTAACATTTAGATGGGATTAAAACTGCATTGTAAGTGGTGCTTGTAGTGACTAACTCAGCTGTCTCCTACAGACTTGCCTAAAATGCCAGCAATTAAAAACTTGACAGTGAATTATTATGCTGCTCACCTGAAGCCTAATATGCAATCAGCGCGATATCGCAATGAAAAAAAAAAAAAAAACACGTTATACGCTACATGTAAATTCGGGGAAACTGCCTCAGAAATACTTTCATCAGCCATTTGATTTTCTTCTGCGAATTGTCCACACGTGGTCACTAGTTCTTTTCCCTTACTGGGTTTTCTCTTAAATAATTTCATATAAGTATCCGCTTATTTATCTGGACAGGGCATGGAGGACTAACTTTCCAACCACCCGGAACAGGAGCTGGGACAGAGAGGACCGAGCGTCCTTAAGTTGGGGGGTGGGGGGGTCGAAGGGGGGGATTGGAGAAGGGGTGGGTAGAAGAGCGGGAAGAGCCTTTTGTCGTTTGCTAGTTTTCAATCTCTCTCCAGCTTTTGTGACTCTCTTGGTCCGCGGTCCCTCTCGGGTTTTCTACCCAGCCACCTTGTTTCAGAGGTGTGGGCTTCCTCCGCACTGCACAAGTGCTACTACCCACCTTGGAGGCTTGGGGAGCCAAGGAAGGAGCGGAGACTGCTGGGTCCCGACCCCCAGAGCGTCTCTCTCACCAAAACTTCCTGGGGTCCAGCCCGGAGGACGCGCCCACCCGCCTTCGCCCACCCCGCGTCCCCACTTCAGCTCTCCCGAGCGGCTCCCCCTCGCGACTACCTACCGCCTCAAGATCTGGGAGGATTTCGGGGCAGCAGCGTCGCCACGCTCAGCCCAGACGCGGCGGCCGAGCGCCCCGCTGCCCGTCGGGGAACGGCTCCCGCCGCGCGTCCGCAC